TAAATCATGCACATGGTATTTATTAAGAACATGCCGTCAGGAAAGATCAATAAGGTAAAAGCGGGAGGGATGTGAGAAAACCAAGCAAGGACATGATTTTGGATGAACCCTCACTATCAGCCTGATGCTGAGGAAATTCCAGAGCATGTTGTTCCTCAGAGTATGTCCTAACTCAAGGCAAGGTTGTATAATAATCAAAGTGGGGGTATTTAGCATTATCCCAAATATTTATAATTTTTTGTTATAAGAAGATTCAAAATTCCCTCCTCTAGCTATTTTGAGATATACAATACAACACTGTTAACCATAGTCACCCTACTGGGCAATAGAAGACCAGAACTTATTCCTCTTATCTAACCATAACTTTGTATTCATTAACTAATATCTCCCCATCTCACTCTCCTCTTCACTCTCCAGCCTCTGGTGACCACAGGTCTACTTTCTATTTCTATAAGATCAATGTTTTAGATTCCAGATGTGTGTGAGATCATGTGGTTTTTGTCTTTTTATGCCTCACTTATTTCACCTACCATAATGTCCTCCAAGTTCACTCATACTGCCATAAATGACAGGATTTCATTCCTTTCAACATCTGAATAGTATTCCATTGTGTATGTACACACATTTTCTTTATACATTTTATAATTCATCTGTTGATGGATACAGAGGCTGATTCTGTATCTTTATACATTTTATACATTCATCTGTTGATGGATACTTAGGTTGATTCCATATCTTGGATATTGCTACAATAAAGATGGGAGTGCGGCTGTCTCTTCAACTTACTTATTTCATTTCCTTTGGATGTGTAATATCCAGTTGTGCAATTGTTGGATCATATGGTAACTTAGTTTTTAATTCTGTGGAAACTTTTCATACTGTTTTCCATAATGATGCTACAAAATGTACACCCCCACCAACAGGGCATGAGTTTCTCTTTTTTAGCCAGGCATGGTGGTATGTGCCTGTAGTCTCAGCTACTCAGGAGGCTAATGCAGGAGGATCCCCTTGAGCCGAAGAGTTCTAGGTTGCAGTGAGCCATGATCAGGCCACTGTACTCCAGCCTGGGCAACAGAGCAAGATTCTGTCTCTAAAAGTAAAAATAATAATAATTATTATATATATATATTTCTTAAAGTTGCCCTTTCTCTACATCCGCACCAGCATTTGTGGATTGTTTTGTTTTGTTTTGTTTTAATAACAGTCATTCTCGAAATGGGATGAAGTGGTATCTCGTTGTGGTTTTGGTTTGCATTTCCTTGATGATTAGTGATATTACACATGTTTTCACATACCTGTTAGCCATTTGTATGTTTTCTTTTGATAAATATCTATTCAAGTATTTTCTCCATTTTTAGATTTGGTTATTTATTTGTCTGCTATTGAGTTGTTTGAGTTTCTTATATATTCTGGATATTAGTCCTTTGTCAGATAGATAGTGGGCAAATTTTTCTATTATTATTTAAGTTGTCTCTTCAGTCTGCTGATTGTTTCCTCTGCTGTGTAGAAGCTTTTTAGCTTGATGTAATTCCATTTGTCTATTTTTGCTTTTGTTTGCTTGTGCTTTCGAGTTCTTATTCAAAAAAATTTTTGCCGAAACCAATGTCATGAAATGTCTCCCCTCTGTTTTCTTCTGGTATTTTTTATCACTGTGGGTCTTCCATTTAAGTCTTTAACCCATTTTGAGTTGATTTTTGTATTTGGTGAGAGATAGGGGTCTAGTTTTCACTTTTCTGCATATGAAGAAAACTGGATATCCAGTTTTGCCAGCAGTATTTATTGAAGAGATTGTTCTTGACATCTTTGTTGAAAATCAATTTGCTGTCAGTGCATAGATTTATTTCTGTGTTCTCTATTTGCTTCACTGTTCTGTTTTTAAGGCCAGTACCGCACCATTTTGTTTACTATAGCTTTGTAGTACACTGAAAGTTAGGTAGCGTGATGTTTCCAGCTTTGTTATTTTTGCTCAAAATTGTTTTGGTGAACTGTACGTTTAAAACAAGCAAACTTTATGGCATATTAATTATATCTCAGTAAAATTTTTACAAATTGCTACTGAAATGTCTGGAATGTTTAATATAGGCAAATTAAAATCTTCTCTGGATGATCATGTCTTCGTCTCAGGTCTCATTGGGTTCTTCTAGATAAAACCTCACTGAAGATGAGCTCACAATTTTTAATTACAAAGCTCACAACAAAATAATTCAACATGAGTAACAGCAAAACTACCAAATAGAAGGGTTAAGTCCCCCAGTTTTTATTCTGGCTTTTTCAGTTCCTTAACATCTCTGAACCAGTTTTGTCCTCTGTATCAGTGGGGACAATAATAGTACCTAACCTATAGGGTTTATTGTAAGGATTCAATGAATAACAGTGATGTAAGCATTAAAAATGGTGCTTGAAACAGAGAAATGCATGCTGCACAAATACTAAGTATAATTAGCTGTAACAACAAAAAAGGAAAAATAAAAGCAGCTGAATTGAAAAACTGGAAACTGATATATAGACATACAAAAATAATTCACAGGTGAAACAACCACAGTCAATACACATGTCAATGGGTGTTTGACTTCACATGGGAACCAACACATGTGCCTTACGTTTTACAAGATGTGTTATTTTTATCCTATTAAATTGGCATAGATCAAACTATTATTTGTGTATTACCTAGAGGTTGGCATAAATGTATACGAATGGGCTTTGCAATATACACTTTCAGAAAATGTAAATTGAAACAAACCCTTCTAATGTGTATTTATTTAGGCGAGTTTATCAAAAATTATTTTGTTATGAAATATTTCACTATATATTTTAAGAGCCAAGGGCAAGTGAAATTAACTTATTTTAATGGAAAATTATACAGAACACATAAAGATATTTTCATAAAAAGGAGATAACACAGCATACCATAGACTGGGGTATGATATCCAAGGCTCCAAGCTGCACACAGGGACAGGTTGCTGTGAACAATATGGTTGCTCAGAAAGGCAAGTTTGAGCTTATTCCACCTTTAATTGAAGCTGTAGATCTTTGAGCATTCTGGCTTAATGCAGAAGTATAAATCTCAGCCCTCACCCTGAACATGCACAGATTCTCCTCTTCCTGACTCCACTGGAGCTTGAACTCCAATTTTTCCAGCATGAAGACCCCAAACAACAGCCCTCAACATTTTCCCCAGCCTTGACCCTGCCTTCCTAGGGCAGCTACAGCATCCACCTTTTTCTCATTATCCAGATCTCAGTTCCTTTTATCACTTTTGTTGCATGAGATTTGAAAAGTGCGTTGGTCATTTTAAAATCGGATGTTTGTTTTTTGCCATAGAATAGGAAATTGAAAAGCTCCACTGCTACACATCACTTAGAAACCCTAGATATAATAAGAGGTCCTATGAAACATACAACTGAATTCACAACCCTCTTATATCTAGTGTCACAACCCTCTTATATCTAAGTGTTGTGTAGCAGTGAAGCTTTTCAATTTTCCATCCCATTCTATGGCAAAGAAAAACAAACATCTGATTTCAAAATGATCAACACACTTTTCAAATCTCATTGTCTTGTAACTCTAGGATAAAAACCTAAAATTACACATAATGAAAAACTTGTTTGAATGTATGAAAACACAAGAAAACAAAAGATTGTTGCATTTGGTCAGTCACTGGAATACTCCAGGTTTTTACCTCTTTTAAGGCTGTCTTTAGAGTCTTCCTTTGTGTTGTCTTAGGCCCCACATGCACATACCTGTATGACTTATCACATTGTTTGACATTGTCAGTTTAGAAGTCTGTTAGCCCCAGATTTTGTCCTCTCTAGAAGCTAGAATATTTTCTCCTATAACTGTGTCCCATTGCTTAGAACTATATCTACCACAAGTGTATATATGTTGTCTGTGCATGCTTGCTGAAAGAACTAATGACTTTCTTTTTTAAAAATTTTCCGATGGGGTGGTAGGAGAAAAGCTCGTAGATGTAACCCTTTGGATCAATTGGAATAAATATGCATCTTTTATTTCACAAATATTAATTGAACACCTAATATAACTGTAACTGCTTTTTAGGTACTAAAAAATAAGTATGCTTATTTTAATGAAATAGTTCTTTTTGTCAGAAATTTCATTTAAATGTCATATCAGTATATATATATGTATATATCTTCCTTAAAAATAATTAAAATTTAAATTCCATATTAGTATGTGTGTGTGAGTGTATATGTGTATATATATATTCCTTATAAATAATTAACATGTTTTATATATGATCTGAAGACAAACATTTCAGTGTAGTAGCAGAAACATCTGCTGGAGAAACCAGCTTGGGTTAGATATTTTCTATGTGACCTTCAGCAAGTTACTTTCCTTTACCAAGTATCAGTTTTCTTTCACATGCTTTGCAGAGTAGTTATGAGCATTATAAATAACATCAATAAAATACCTGGCCCATAGTAGGTGCTCAATAAATCATAGTTGTCACTATTACATCATGAGAATAATTTTCCAATGTGAGGGTTAACTCCCTTGTTGAATCTGTTTTCCATGTTCAGGGCCTAGACATTTGTTTCTGTTAAAATAGGGCTCACTGTGACTTCCTGTTACTGGTTCTAATCCCGTGAAATACATCCATGATGAATAATTATGCCAGTTAGGACAAGACAAGATTGAGCTCACACATGTTTTTAGAGATCAAGTAAACATAAAGCAAACCAACTTTATTGGCATTTCCAAATCAGAGCCAGCAGTGGAAATATAGATAATGTTGATGCCTTGAAATTCCCTAAAAAACAAAGTTATTTGATATGACAAAAAGTCTATTATATTGGCTTCTGAGAAAACCTCAGGATGTCCAGACAGGCCCTTAGGGCATCAAGGGCTAAAGCATCTCACTGCCTCCTGTCTCTAAGCAGATAGTGTCTCGCAGGGATATTTTACTGCATTACCACATTACTCTCATCTGGTGCCAAGCATGTGCTGGAAAAGCCAACAGGAAATGAAAGCTAGCTAATTTGTAAAATTTTCTCATGACTTTTATTTCTCAATGTATGCTTTTATCGATCTCACAGAGTTCTTGGGGCTGGAATGGAGAACAATGACTTCAGGCCATGTGTGGTCTGACCTTGGCAGAGGCCTTTCCTTTTGGCTTTTCCTGGTCAAAATGGTTCAGACTCCCTTGAGTGAGCAGCACAGTCACAGAAGAATCTCATCTCTCTTCTGCCTATTTATTTGGAGAAAGGCATGGAAAGATGTGCTGGGGAGAATACCAGACTTGGAGTTCTACCACATTTGAGTTTAGAGGTCTTGAGCAAATCATTTCATATTCCCAGGCCTTCATTTGTATTTATAAAATACAAATATTTTCATTTGTGTTTATAAAATATCAGTATCTAGTTTGTGGGATTGAAGTCAGAATTCTTTGATACAACATTTGTGAAAACCGTTTATAAGGGTTAAATTCCTGTACCCATGGTGGGTGCTTGTTTATCTGGCCATTGCTGTCACTAAGGAGATGAAACACCCTTCATCTCTCAGACTAATGTCATTCCTAACACTGGCTTGTCTACAGTGTGGGCAACAGGCTAGAAATAAGACTGGGAAAAGGACTTGTATTATGTTCTTCACATATATTTATCCTTACCAAACATCTGTAAGTATCTCAACATACTGAGTATTGAAAGATATTGTGATTTATCCACAATTGTGAAAGGCTTCTGAAAACCCTACTGCATTACAGTAATTCACTATCTCAATCTGTGATGCTGGTATCTATTTAATTTTGCAAATCATTATAGAGGCACAGCACCTATATTAGGCAACGTTCTCCACAGAAAAAGAACTTCAGTCTTTGCTCTCAAGGCTTTCAAATGATAGGAAGACATCCCCTCTAAACACACACACACACACACACACACACACACACACACACACACCATGGAGGATAATCTGCACCGCTGAAAGTCTACTGATTTAAACACTAATCACATCTAAAAAATACCTACACAGCAACATCTAGACTGGTGTTGGACCAAAAAAATGGTCACTATCCTTAGCCAAATTGACATGTAAAATTAGCCATCACAGCACCAAACACTGTAGAGTATTTCCAAGGGGAAAGAACTGGGTAGCGGTTTGTAAACAAGAAGGCATTGGGTGCATGTAATCATGGTCTCCAATATCTAAATGGCAGTTGTGGAGCAGGGCTTACTTTTAGAGGTTGCTGAAGGCCCAAGAAAGACTAAGAAATGCAGCTCTAGAGAGGGCAAGGGCAAAATAAGAAAGAACGTGCTGTTAGCTGATAGAAGGTTCAAACTCATGTGTGAAATTCTAGCTGTATTATTTCAATGAAGGCTTCAAAATATAGCTGGGTTTTCGTGCCCAGTGAATGCTGCCCAGGAATGGTACACTGCATAGATGGGATGGCTCAAGGTAGTGCCTAAGTTCCTTCTAAAGAATGGGATTCTAAGATGTCGAATAGATATCATGAATCACCTAGAGCAATTTTCAAATCCCACTTCCTTACTATGTAATGTGCTTTTCTCTTAATGAGGCCGCAGAATACCTCCTTTCAAGAAGCAAGTATAAACATGCTTTTTCCTGTTGGAGACTTTTGTTTTCAAAGGTGCTGATTCCTATCTAAGACTCATTTTGTACTGATTGTTTTCTCATTATCATGTCAAAGCAAGACTGTAGAAAGTAAAAATTGGCATTATATTCTTGAATTAATACGCTCTTTCTTTGGTATAGTGAGCTTTTACTAGATAAGCTTGAAAACTGGAATTCAAATTGTTTTAATCACCCTTCAAATTATTGCACTCAACTCTGCTAGAAAGAAAGAAATAAGATTATTTATTCACATAGCTCAAGTTTCTCTAAATTTGATGACATGGTCCTGCTCTGTCCTTGACTCATTCTCTGATCTTAGGTAAGTTAATTTCTTCATATCTCAGTTCCCATCTGTAAAATGAATACATTAGTTCTACAGAATCACTCATTTTTTAGGTTATTTCTGACTTTTCTTTCAGTGACACTGACTTAAGTTATCTTTATAAACCTTATAGAACGCTATGAAAGCATAGCATATGAAACTACTGATGCATTCTTATATTACATGAGATTTACCAATATTTTCTGCTTGGAAACAAAATCTGTTAGAATAATAAAGCTTCTCATTCAAGTGTTGATCAATGTTAAATCCTGGCATCATAAAGAAATGTTGCTATTTTTCTATTATAAAAAGCACATTCAATAAAATCTGACTTTTTTTTCAATTACAAGGTATTTAGAGGTACAATTGTGTTCACTGGATACTGATCTGATTGGAAAAATAATTCCCAAATATTCCTATTCAACAGCTTTAAATGTGTTCACTCTGTTATCCCATGCTGTTCTTTCTTTCTTTCTTTCTTTCTTTCTTTCTTTCTTTCTTTCTTTCTTTCTTTCTTTCTTTCTTTCTTTTCTTTTCTTTTCTTTCTTTCTTTATTTTTACCATGTATGTTTCTTTGTGAGGTTCATGTATTCCTATTATTTTCTAGGTTTGAAATTCTTATTTCCAGGGTAGAATTACAAAGAAGGGAGCAATTGAAAACATCTGCTCTGCTTTCAAACACTGACAGGCACTTCCATCACACTCCTTTCTGCTGCTGGACAATTAGGTACAGCTAGAGGCAGAATTGTTTTTACCTTTGACTGGGGTTCTCTTCTTGGCAGTGAATTAATGAAGTGCACTGAATAAAAAGCTGTTTCTCGCCCACTGAATGGATGTACCTGTCACTCGCTCTGATAAGGAACACCTATCCCACGCAAGACAGAAGTGGCAGAAATCTTAATTAGTTGACTATTCTAGTGATTGTGTTTGTTTTCCTAAAGCTCGGGCTGTTTGAGACAGTGTAAATAATGGATTTTGTCTATGTTGCTATAGGGTGAGGAGAGGAGGGGAAGAAAAGAACTGCTCCTACCACGAGTTTCTGAAGTGGATGAAGGCTGGAGATGCAGAGGAAATTATCTGCATCACTGCATTAGATTCAGTCTCGATAGCAGCACCAAAGAAGTTACTGAAAGTTGTATTATTAATAACACCTATCATTTGCTGAGCACTTACATATAGAAGGTGGGATGGAAAGCAATTCAGACAGACTAGATCCTCATGAAGTCTTTCTGAATTTGGTATTATTTTTCCTTATTTTTTTCAGATAAATAAACAGGCTGCAAGGCTAGAGCTATAATGTTAAAAAGGTGAAGACTTAGGATCCAAACTCAATTGCAGGTGATACCAAAATCTGTGCTCCTAATTGCTACATGATAGACAGACTTTAGAGGCAAACACACTCCTAGGCTGAAAAGCAAATCTACAGCTAATGTGTCCTGAACTTCGGCCAAAATACTTCATCTCTCTCAAGGTCAACTTTCTCACACGTAAATTATAGATAATAATAATTACCACATAGAGTGGTTATTGGAATTAAATTCATAACACATTGAAATGCTGGTTTAAGTGCCTGATGTACAATAGGTTCTCAGAAAATTGGTGCCAGTTCTCGTTTTCGGAGATACTCAAAGGGGACAGCTACTTGGTAGGTATTTTATTTGGCATTACTAGCCCTTGTGGGAGAGAGGTGGATAAGAAGCCTTTCTAATGTCTCCCAGTCCAGAGCATTCATGATGCCATCAATCATTTGCTCAGGATAACACAAACTTGCTCTATCTGCCTCCTACCTCAGGGATCTTACTTCACACTCAAAGGTATAAGAAACAGAGAAGATATAAGTTGTTCAAACTTTTCTAATAAGATCATGAAACCTCAAATCTGAAAGCTTTACATTGTCAAATGTAAAGTCCCTTCAGTGTCCACTTATAAGAACAAAAAAGAAACCCTTACTCTGAAAAATTAATGCACTGTTTGAATTTTTCCTTGGGAAAGGAGAGACATAGACGTGGTAAAGGGGTAGAGGAGATGTTAGGGCACAGGCGATTCTGGTCTGGTCCTGCAGCCTCTCCTTTTGTGACTACACCTATTACAGGGGAAGAGACCGGAGTTACTCCGAGTGACCAGCGGGCGTATCCGTCTAGGTCTGCAGCAACTTCAATTCTTGCCACCTAAAAAGGAAGAATTCGACTGAGGGGCATAAAGCAGAAAAAGACACTGAAGCAAGTTTCAGAGCAGCAATGAAAGTTTATTTTAAAATGCCTTAGAACGGGAAAGAAAGGAAGGTGTGCATGGAAAAGACCCACGCAGGCACATGAAGGTTAAAGAGAGAAGATCAAGTGCCCCGTTTAACCGTAATCTTGGGACTTTCCCAAGGGAAGCTCGCCTCTTTCCCATGATTCTTCCCTTAGGGTGGGCTGCCCGCATGCACAGAGCCCTCCTTAGCCTTGGAAGTGAGCATGAGCCATGCGTTTAAGGAGTTATAGGCGTGCCCCTCTGAGGCTTTTTTCTTTTTTCCGGTGGAGTGTCCCCGGAAGATCATACTTCGTCATTTTCCTCTTAATATGCATGCCCAGGAAGTTCCTTCGCCCTGGGCTCTGCATTTATTTACCATCTTGATGTTAACGGGTGTGGACTATCAAGAAATGGCCTCTCCCTGACGCTGCTAAATCATCACTCTCAGAGAGGCAATGTGACAATTGCCAAACCAGCACCTGACATTTCTAGTGGGTGGGGAAAGAGCCCTCTTCTCTCTGGCTCAGGCTTAACTACCTACCTGTAACACATCCTAGATGCCTATCTGGACTTAGCGTTTTCCTCTTTTAAATTATCAAATTAACGTAATACTAGAGGATCACTGGAACCTTTCCAATCCAGTGGGTTTTGTTCTCCCATCTACCTCTCTTTCTGCCCCTGTCCTTGGATCTCCTGTACTTCTTATGATACTGTGATGACTTAATTTTATGTGTCAACTTGACTGGGCCGTGCAATACCCAGATATTTAGTCACACAATATTCTGGGTGTTTCCCTCAGAGTGCTTTTAGATGAGGTTAACATTTAAATTGTTAAACTGAGTAAAGCAGACTGCCCTTCCTAATGTTAGTGGGCCTCACCAAATCAGTTGAAGGTCTGAGTAGAACAGAAAGGCTGACTCTCCCCCAAGTGAGAGAGGATTCTTCCTGCTTAATGACTTTTCAAACTGGGACATCAGCATTTTTCCTCCCTTTAGACCTAAACTAGGGTTCAAGTCTGCAGGCCTTAAACTGGGACATCAGCATTTTCCCTCCCTTTAGACCTAAACTGGGGTTCACATCTGCTGGCCTTAAACTGGGACATCAGCATCTTTCCTCCCTTTAGACCTAAACTGGGGTTCAAGTCTGCTGGTATTAGTGCTGAAACCTAACGATCAACCTGGGTCTCCAGGTCGTGAACCCACCCTGCAGATCTGCAAATCATGACACTTGCTGGCCTCCAAAATTACAGATGTCAATTTCTTATGGTAAATCTCTTCAAGTAAAAGCTCCCCCCCACCACCACACACACACAGCTTATCCGTCCTAAAGAATCTTCACTCTGAAGCCTAATAAATTCAATTTAAAACAATAGTACAGTAGAAATGACTGACAAGTCATAATAAGTAACGTTAGCAGTATATAGTTAAACATTTGCAAACATTCTTTATACTCACCTGTTCTTTGATATTTCTACTTCCAACTAATCCCACTGAGCAGATTAATACAATCCTACTTTCCAGATTAAAAAAGATAAAAAGGAAGTTGAGTGATGCTTGGCCATATAGCAGAGATAGATTTCAAATTGCAATTGTCCTCAATACACAGGGACATACCTTTCTATTGCATCACAACAAATTTCGAACTGATATTTGTGCTTAACAGAGACCTTTGAAAACTCACTTCAAAGCAACGAATACCCTAGCTGAGTCAGGTTAAGTAGCCTGACAGAGGAGAAAGATGCCTATGGTCTATAGTTGCTTTGCAGTGAAGATCTGTCCTTGGTACAGAACCTATTCATAGGTGCAAAAATTGTAATCCTGATTATCCTGCTCAGTGGATATCAGAGTGGTAGAGCAGCAGTTGAAAATACAGCAGAGTGAAATGCTTACCTCATCTTAGGCTCTGATGTCAGAATTTCTCTTCAGGATAAAATTATTTTTTAAAGTAGAAAGTACCTTAATAAGCCCCTTGGGATGACTCAGTGAAGAGAAAAGGTCCAAAGACAATGATTTCTGTGCAACAATAAATGATCTCTCGCTAGACTCCATTAAATCAGGATGAATTTTTGTTTCCATTCTGGAAATAAGAGCTGGAGCTCAGCTTATGGGGAAGAGATTAGAGACAAGAGGCAAGAAGATCAAAATAAGTTGAGATGACAAGGTAGAAGGGACAGTGAAAACATTTTAGTGTCTGGACAACTGAAAATATTTTCAGCATACTGCAGACTAAGACCTGAGTAGTGAGTTTTTGGGGATAAAAAGTTAAGATGTGGAACAAAAGGGCACACATAGATGCTGAAGTTAGGAGACAAAGATGATTTTGAGAACCAAAAAATTCCTAGCAACTAACAAAAATCTTGAAATCAGCTTTGGATCTGAATATAAATCTGAAGGCTGAAATAAATATTGAAATCTCAAGATTCGGAGAGGCCCTGCCTATTATCTGGGTTACAGTTCTACACAGGTGGGTAGAAAGATTCCAAGCCGAATTTGTCTCTTCTACTCTCCCTCTGCATTTTTTATACTATAGGAAAATTAGGAAAGTAGCCTGTTATCTAGATGTCAGCTTCCATGTAACAATATCTACATGTTATTGATTAAAAGGGATTAAACCCTTCCCACTGTGCCTAGGGGTTGTGAGATTTCATCCTTGAGAGCATCTAGCAGTGGGAATGATTTAAGATGACAGCAGAGCTTACTGTTCTATCCTTCAAATCTTTCCCACGTCCATCCTGACCACTGTAACAGTGTGTCTGGTATATTACATTCCACTGTGGTTGAAAGATGCATCCGGGGTCTGTAGCGTATCCCCCTTCCTCATGTTTCCATTACTCAGGGAACATTTTCGAAAGATGAGATCTGCTCAATTTTGGAATAGTTTCCAGAGGGATGTGGCAAAGTGCCGCATCATTTTATTTACTTAAAATTAGACCAGAGCAAGGAATCCCAGTGTCCCACTGTGAGCAGTTTTGTACCGGTGGGAGGATAGGCAGAGAATCATGCCCATTTGCTGCCGGAATACAAGAGGGGTTCTTTATCATTACTTCATATGACTCCCCAATTCTGATAATTGCCATTCCAAATATTGATCTTCTTATGGAGAACACAAATTATATTTTTTCTAAGTTTCTTCCTTTTTTCTCCTACTTTTCACCTAGCATTATCATTCTGTCTTCACTAATATCAGTTCTAGTAGAATTGGAGAGCACTTAATGGAAAAACAATAACTTTACAAACAAATGCCCTGTTCCCCAAGTTCTAAGAAGCCAACTACAGATTGTATTTGTTAAAGATTTAAAATGTACCCACATTGCAAATGGATATATTAGTCAACTTGGGCTGTTATAAAAAAGTGCTATAGACTAGGAGGTTTAAACTATCGAAAATTTACTTTCTTACAGTTCTAGAGGCTGGAAGTCTAAGATCAGATTGCCAGCATGGTCAGGTTTAGGCAAGAACTCTCTTCCACTGACTATGTCTTCACATAGCAGAGGGAGAACGATCTGTTCCTCTTCTTAGAGACTACCTTCTTGTTGGATTAGGGTTTCACCCTATGGCCTCATGTAACCTTAATTACATCCTAAAGACCCTATCCCCAGATACAGTCACGCTGAAAATTAGGGCTTCAACATTTGATAGGGTGGGAGGGGCTGAGGAGGGCACACAATTCCGCCTATAGCACCGAGATTTCCAATGTCTAAAACATTCAATTTCTCAATCCTCAGAGACAGATCTCAAAAAAGAAATCAAAATTGGCTTAGATTTCCCAAGGATTTCCGTATCTATACACTAGAAGATAATTTAGACTTATGCGTCTGAGAAGGGTAGGTTCAGTGATCTGATTTGTTCTTTTCATGTGCCCATTTATGGATTGGAAAAAATTCAACCTTTGGAGAGAACAGATTGAGTTCTAATCCTGGTTATATTACTAATTTGATTTATGACCTCAGCTTTTTCCATCTGTAAAATGAATCCTTCTCTTTAGATTCCTTCCCACTCTGATAGTTCAGAAATCTGAGAACTATGGATTGGCATTAGTATTCATTTGGGCATAGACACTCTGATTATCAAAATTCAAATAATGCTCCAATCCCCAAGGGTCTATATTTTTATTGGCCTCATGACCAAGACACTGGAACTGAGAGGACCTAAGTAGCATGTTGGAATCAGACTTTCAGGGCAGAGGTGGAAGATAGACAATACACCACAGTTTAGAAGTGACATTGGGGGCCAACAGGTATGAAGATTCATGGGCCAAAAGGGGAAGTTCCTGGAGTGCTCTTCCTGCCTGCTGGTTTACATCTTGTGGGATCACTGGGATAGAGGAGAAAACAGAGTGATTTATGGCCTAGAAGTTTGGTAAATGATAGAATAATAATACTTAACCCTTAACTAACAGGTATTTTCTAAATGCTAGATATTTTATAAGTACTTTACTTTTATTATATTTAATATTAAATTCTGACCATAGAGCTTGAAGTAAGTACCATTTTTAACCTTACATTTCGAAAAATGAAAATAGCACTTTTAAAAAATTAAACAAGTTGTCCAAAATCACATACCCGAGAGGAGCAGAACTCAGATTCAGTTGACCTTTGATCTCCCAATTCCTATTACATTCTGCCATACCAAGAAAACTGAGTCTCAGTAATGCGGCCCATGTTTTCTCCACTATGCAGTGTTCCAAGATAGTGGCAATTAATTTGACTTTTTACCTCCAGCATTTATACCTTGTAAAAATTTCCTGAATGTAGAAAAACACAGAGTGATAGCAAACTCCAAATGAGGATTCTCAAATTCAATCAGAATAGGGGCATCTTCATGGAAGAAAAAAAAGTGGAGAATGAGACCCAAAGACTAAGCATGAGTTATAAAAGTGTCCATGGGAGAAACACAGTGAAAGAAGAGAAGGATGAAATATTCCAGGCCTCAAGAAGGTGCTTATACCGAAAGCTATCAGTCTCCCGCTCTCAGTTACTCCAAGACCCCAATTGGCTATAGTTGCTAAATGTGTGTAATGTAAACTATTTGGGTAATGGTTACACTAAAAATCCAGACTTCACCACTGTGTAATATATCCTTGTAGCAAAACTGCACCTGTGCCACTTAAATTTATATAAATAAATAGATAAATAAATATGGTATATTTTGAATACAATAACACTTGTCTGTATCATAGCCTGCTCATCATATTCTAATCGCATATTTATTCATCTGTATTTGCTAACAGTGAA